TCGTTTGACGATCAGATACAAGATGTCAATCATTTTAATTTAAAAAAAAATCATCATGTTTATGTAACTATATTTCTATCAACAAAACTATATACTAGTATCTTAAATTTGATAACTAACGTGGACTGTGCTATGCATGGCTTGTTCATTTATTGTTCTGTAGGAAACTTACAAGTTAGACAAATAAACATATACTATTGTCCTCTCAGATACGTGCGTTTGTCATCGTCGGTGTTACCGAATACGTTAACCTCAGAATTCAGAACAATTACATGAATAGGCTTCTATTGCAAAGTAATTTCACCTTTCCCCCACTCTATGATATATAACGTAGTACATGAACGTGGGTTACCTGTCACCAATTGGAAATAAAATAGTGGGTGTAACTAACACAGAATTGACTAACACATTAAAATAAATCATTATTTTATTCATAATTGTGCCTAATGTTAAACTTTGCCAATAGACATAAGAAAAGATGCCTCCAATGTTATTGTTATAAGGTAAGTTATTTCTGTGGCACACTGTACGCGCACGAGTGACGAGGTATTTAGTCTGCGTCACCAGTACCTGTCTATATTAATAGAAAGCATTATGCTAGGGTACATGACATGAATTCACAATATAGACTTTATTTGACTGCCCTGTGTTTGTTCCATTCCCAATAAATCCACTCCCTCTAAGAAAGTGTGGTCACATTCCAACATGATTCCTGTCTGACGTCGCGGATTAAGAGATTCATAGCATTTGGTCTACAATTCAAATACCAAACCCTGATTAGAGCAATGAATTAAAAATGTACTGATTTGGTTGTATTATACTTCATGTTTAAGATCACCTTGTTTATTGGTCAGATCGCAGTCACGTGGGAATGAACACATCGCATTATTTACAAAAATAAGTGTCGTCTGCTACAGACTTTCTCTCAACCTTTCAAAACTATCAACTGCATACTTCTACCGAAGCATAAAAGAGTGTTATTTATGTTGGAAATTCGTTCAGCAATAACATAAATAGTAAAGGTCGAAAAACGGATTTACGACAATTCGCCTATCTTGGCGTACTCTTCGGTGACCGTAAGCGACCACGAATAAATATAGTAGTATAATGCATTGTTATTCAAATATGTACACAACGCATTATGTATGTGTAACAGGGTGTTCACTACTTGCACATTCTACCCTGGGCACAATTTGTTTGTCAATGTCATTTAAATTTCATTATTCGATGTTTTCAGAATATTAATATCTTGCTTTAAAGTTCACAAAATTGGCAGGGAAACAATATGTTACATTATTACTTTAACTGTTAAAGTACATTGTGGATTTTGCCTATCAGCCAAAATAGCAAAATTTAAATCTAGTGAGAAATTAATCCATTTACAGTACTATTTCCAGCAGTGAATGTACGAGTCAGGTGAATGACGTGAAACTAAATTTGTATATATTCCATATATATTGCATTTTTGAGTGATACATTCCACTTATGGGGTACTTTGTATGCTTCTAGCCATCTGCGAGTGTTGTCATACAGGAGGTTGCTCGGTTAAAGGTTGAATCATTGTGGATCCCAATCTGTGCCTTGGAACATCATACAATCATCATCTATTTTTGTTTGTTTTTTCACATTCCCTTTAGCACACGAACGACCAACTTTCGATTTAATACAGGTTTCATGGATGTTTTTAACATCGAATCTGCATAACTAATACATTTTCAAAATGTTGCGCTTTCGATGAATGTTTGGATCAATGATAAAAATAGTTTTAGTTATATTGACTAATGTCTAGAGCGGCTTATTCATTTATTGTTCTGTGGAAAAATTACAAGTTAGACAAATAAACATATAGTATACTATTTGCCATCGTGCGTGTTACCGAATACATTAACCTCAGAACTCAGGACAATTACATGAATAGAATTTCATTGCAAAGTAATTTCACCTTTCACCCACTCTATGATATATAACGTAGTACTCACTGGCATGCAAATAAGCATTAGCTAAACCCATGACTATGTCTGCATTCATCGTGTAACAAAGTAAACGAACCATACATTTGTTGGTCGAATATTCGGATTTATATTTATACATAGAAATGGTGTTTTAATTTGTGTACAACTTTACAGTATTCTGTATGTAGATACGGTTTTTGAATTAGCACTGATTAATCTGATAATCCACTCTGTGGTGTTATAGATGGTCAGATTAAATTTGCAGTTGTTTACCGATGATTGTGTAATAAATAGAGTTACACTTTAAATTGTAAATCGATGTGATTAAAGTCTTGTGACTGCACAAACCTGTTCTATGTTTAACGTCAAATTCCTTCACTAGCAGTGAACTATATTCATTTGGCTAAATAGTGCTGTGATACACATACACCAAAATATCGAGTTAAAGCTTCTTGCTTTAATACCTCTCAAAATAATTACAAGAAAAAATGCACAGAAAAATACAATGTATAAAATCACTGAAACAGGAGATTGCCAAGGGAAGTGTTCCAGGATGTAGAAATGGATGAACAGTCAATGGCTTTTGCAACACAATGACGAGGAACGCTGGTATTCTGGAGGGCACCGCTGAACGCAAAAGATAGATTGCAGAGCAGTTCATACAAGTCTCACAGATTGATGGTTGAAGCCTGTATCACTTGTCTCAAAATATCGCAGCAAGAACATACAGGCTATATCACTGTAAAAAAGATGGACGCCAACTGCCCTCAGTCTGTCCAATTTATAGACATAAATGGTCCACATTCAGAGACACCACGTGGGATTCTACATGAGCCAATCAAAATGTGATCTTGCTAGCAGCTATGTCACGTAGGCAACTCAGTAGATCATAAACATCATTTGTTATTCAACAAATTACAGCTATCACACGGCAATGCACACAAATTTTTCCCATGATTCCATGCACGATTCTATAAAAATGAAATGAAAGAACACTGTAAAAAAAGTCTACTAGACCAGGTTGATTCAGTATGTTCCAAGACCACATGCCACAGAGATACGTGACAACACTCACAAATGCCAAGAGGCGTGATACATAAAAAAGGCGCCATTAAAATGGAATACATAAAACATCCTCATAGCAACGCTACTGAAATACAACATAAAATATATATAAAACGTAAGCAAATTTAGAATCAAATTTTAAATCCACGTCATTGACCTGTCAGAATTGAGACAAACATTCATTGCCAAAACTAATACAGTGCTCAGGATACAATACCGTATTTGAAATACAATTTACTCTGCCAATGTATTTATGTGATGTTACACGGGTTCATCAAAAGGTTTGCTAAGATAATGTGCTGTTGAGATGTCAGAATTATTTTAATCAGTGAAGTAGTAAAACCGGTTATCGTGCTGCCGAGTGGTCAGTGTTAACAGGTAGTCGAACTTAGAGAATATTTTGTTGATGAAGAAATTATGTTGACCCTGACTAGTACGTCACTATAACTTAAATCAGTCAGTGTATAAGTAGCTAACACCGCAAGACATCAGAGATTTGTTTCGGGCTACGCCCTTGCAACACGCTTCTGTCCCGTGGTGTTTCCTTCACCTTATGTCCAACATAAGTAACGCCCTTTCATTTACTACTTAAATAAGTGTATGCTTCGGTAGAGGTATTCGGTCGATGGAATTTAAATAATAATTTGCATAATAGACGAGAAAAAGCCTTTTCATTTGTTTCAAGAGTTCTGAGCACAGGTAGGTACCCTTTGTTGAACTAAGATCGAATGAATATCGATGACATAACCCAAGTGTGTAGCACATTGCAATCAAACCTTGCCGTGTTGTGTTGACCGGGGTAAATCTGTCATTGTTTACCGATGGCCGGGTATAATATAATTGTTAAACTCCATGTTGGGGGTATTTTGTTTCAAATTACTAAAATTCAAAATTCTGAAGTACAAATTGCTTAGAATGTTGTGCAGGTTGGCCACGATAAGGTTTTCTGATGCATGGGAACCAACATAGCAAGATCTGAGCCAATGCATCAATGCAAGACACCATGGTCGTCTTGATAAATCTTATAATAGAATATCAACGCTGTACCCACACATACGAGCTCATTTCAATAATAAATGTCATTCGCAAAGAACATTTACATGACGTACGGTCGTAAACTCGTTTGCAAGAATTTTTATAAGTTACTTCTTTATAGCCTACTTTTATGTATGAACACAAATAGAATTCACAACAGATGTTTCAGCGTTAAAAGTACGCCACAACAAATGTTTTATTTTACCACCGTGGTCCAGTTTTCTAAAGGTAAAAGTAAAGCCATGAATCACAATTGGACAGCCATTGTGGCAGTGAAGTGTGTATAGAGGTCGAAATTACGCAAACCCAGTCATGCAATTTTCTCACTTTGTCTTCGGGTCGCATAAGGTCACCCAGAGAATACAAAGCCTCAGGGTTCCGTTGACGTCCTTGATCGGGGTCAACGTGTCCTTTTACGACACACCCATTAAACCTTTAACCAGCACAAATAAATATTCCGATGTGAACTGCCTGTGTCTTTCGGTCATGCGTTTGCAATTAAACTATTAAAGGCAGCTGAATTTGTTATCACATTAGATTAGCGATTATATTGGCTGTCTATTTCCACTTGAGAAGCAGGGTATATATCATATATATAGAATATATGAGGTATTTATACGTCACGTATGCGCGAGATTTATGTTGATAAACGTGACTTCCCTCAACCCATTGTGCCCTAAGTTGAATGTATGAACGAGAGTCTTGATCTGATCACGATGTACAATAAATAAAGATTTGCATTGCTTTTCGATGTGACCTTATTGTGTGCGTCGATCTGCGCATCAATCAAAACCACAAAACAACGATTAAGGAGTTTCAATGTGAACAACCTTACACCAACACTATTAGTATTGTCAGTAATCTCACAATTTTAATCCTGAATGTTTGCAGTGGGATTACAGCAGTTTTGTTTTGTTTTGTTTTGTTTTGTTTCAGGTTCCCGCAAGAATGTCGTCCACCATGCTTCCTAACATCACGAACGAGACAATGCAGGCTCCATTCAAACCTCGACAGGATTTATTGATATTTGGTCAGATTAATCTAAACATAGCTTTAGTGTTTCTCATGATTGGTCTTGGATGTACAATTGAATGGAAGGACATTAAGAAAATATTTCAAAGACCCATACCAGTAACTGTGGGGGCGTTATGCCAGTTTGGTATCATGCCGCTAATTGGATTCACCTTGGCAATATTGTTTCAGTTACCAGCTAACGTCGCCATAGGAACCATTCTCATTGCAACATGTCCAGGAGGTACAGCGTCAAATATCATGACATATTGGTCTGAAGGTGACATAACCCTCAGGTAATTACGTGTCTATCAGTAGCTCCTAAAACTTGAGTATATTCT